CAGGCGCAGTGGGGTTGTTGTTTGTTTATGTACAATGTTTGAATTTAAATGTGTGAATTAAAACTGAATGTCTTCAGATTAACAAGGCAATAAAAGCAACCCAGTCTTTTTAGGGCCAAGCGCCACATTTTGTTCTCAGAGGAATTAGGCTCACTGCTGATTAGTTGGGCTGTAAGTTGGATTCAGGGCAGTAAACAGAGGGGGAAGGGGGGACAGGGGTTTTAGGGGCTCAGAATTGCACCCCTTTCGTATCGATTTATATTGGAGGGGGGGCCATGTCACGCTTCTTGCCCCAGGTTCCCAAATTTCTATCAGCCGGCCTGGTTACATCTACACTTCACTTTCTTACTTGTTGTTTTGTTATTAAGGTCAGGGCAGATCTGAAACTTGGCAATGAACCTGAAAACTGCATTGATCAAAAGAATGGGTGCTGCTGGTGCGAGGCTGAAAGAGCCCAGTCCATGGATTTTACAAAGAAGATGATTTTGGTATTATAGAGAATGTGTGTTGGAAGATTAAAAGTAAGAAAGCGGTCAATGTAATCATCAGAGACTCAGTACGTAGCATTAGTGTGAGACAGAAAAAGATGGATCTGTGTATCTCTAGTGAGGAGTAGCACATAACTGGTAATGTATGTTCAGATAGTTTGAAGTCACTGTGCACTATGAGATACTGATGATTTCAGTCAAATCAATAGTGTATGATCCATATTACAGACTTGGTTAGTAGGACATCGCTTTATAATTACACAAATTTGACTCTTGTGAGCTTTAATCCATGTTATAATGTTGTTTACCTCCTCAAAAACATACCTGGAGTCGTGTTTTGTTTCATTCACACGTTTGAATAATTCTGTCTACTCACCAGGCTGGCATCACCTAGTGCCTCAACTCAATTTCATTTCTCTCCAGCGACTAGGTCAGGAATCAGAATACACTAGACGATTCGCAAAACCCCCGGAAGTACGATTTCGGGCACTAGCCAATCAGAGAAGAGTCATACATTCTGTATTGGCAACGATTCCTGAGATCAAGGAATTAAAGCCGGAACAAAGAGAATGTTCGGTGAATTTTATCAAGGGGAAAGTTATTGTCCTTCTTCCTCCGGGATTTGGGAAAAGCTTAATATACCAGTTAGCCCCGTTAGTGATGCATTACATACATCACGACCAAATAGCAGCAATTGTTTTAATGAAAAAAGTACCCTCCTACCGTTAAGCAAACAAATTCTAATGCTGCGAGGTCAGACGGTTTCTATGAAGTGAAACAAAGTGAAACCAGTTGATGAATCAGACTACCTGTTTACATCTCTAAAGCTCAAAACGCTCTGTTCCACATTGTGATGTCATGAAGTGATAGTTAACAAGTTATGAGCTACCTTTTATCTGTAGTTCAGTAGAGATTTGCAATTCCAGGGCTGAAATCATTCAAATGATTCAAGTGAAAGTGTATGCAGTTTAAATGCACAGTGGAGCACTTCCTGTGTTACCACATGACATCATAAGGTGGAACAGAGTGTTTTCTGTTTGAGAGAAGAACTCTTTTGTGTGTTAAACATGAGTGAATTTAAAAAAACAACAGGAATGCTTGTGATGAGGACACTTTATAATATAGATCAGAAAATAGCTTAAACCCTTAACGCCGAATGTCACAAATATGCAACAAACTGTTTGGATTAAGTTATAAGCTGAGATAGCAGCTGCATTCCCCCAATGCCGATTAATGCCTATACTGTACCTTCCTAGGAACCTTTGGCAAGCACTTGTTTCTAGTTTTCACAATTTTGCAGCATACCCAAATTTCTATTTATTGTTTTGCTATGGTCAAATGAATAATCTCAACTTAATTTACCATCTACTTAAAGGCAAAAACACGCATAAAACATATTTTTAGATACATCTATATAAATTCAGGTGTTATGGGGTTAATATGGGCCCTTTAAAAGAGACTAATAGTGAATGTTCAATCCTCATATTTTGGAAATCAGCGAGGTCTTGAGGTGCAGCAACAGGTGCAGGTGGGTTGAATTGTATTTAGATTGCATTTGTATAAAGCCAGGTGCATTGTGGGAGGTTGTGGTACCAGCAGAGTTAGTCTGGACGGTGCACTGTTGCCTTTGAGAGTAACAAAGCTCTTACCTTTAGACCCTCTGTGTGGGGCCGAGGGAGGAAAGGTTACACAGTGGAGATATGCCAGCCAAGACAATATGTAAGATATCTTAAATTACAGTTTTGATTTCACACAACGGCAGAGCTGGATGAAGTTACTTGTTACTTAACTAAAAGTACAGATACAGGGACAAAAAGTTACTCAAGTAAAAGTAGAAACATCACATGAAAAAATCTACTCAAGTAAAAGTATTAAAGCACCTGTTTAAAAATGTACTTAAAGAGCAAAAAGTAAAACTATTTTGCAGATATTTTCAGAACAATTAAAGGACAAAATTTAGCGTTTTTGATAAATAATTTATTATGATTTAAGTGATTCAATTGATTTCTTTTTTTTTTTTTTATATTTATTTAATTTCTAGCTGTTTTTATGTATTTGATTTGCTCAAACCTGGGACGAAAACTCAAACTAAATGTACTAAAATTTCAAGGTACTTTTTACTTTTCAGTCCAGATCATGTAAAATGTAGTGAAGTAGAAAGTACAGATACATGTTCTCAAATATAGTGAAGCGAAAGTAAAAAGTATCCACTGTGAAATCTACTTAAGTAAAGTACAGATACCTAACATTTTTACTTAAGTATTGTATTTTTAGTTTTACACTTCGTCACTTATGCAGAGACTATTGCCGCTTTATTCCTGATTAAACATGGAGCATTGTGGACAGTGAAAGATCGTTCGGAATTATGAGTATAGCCTATAAACATACCACTGTATATATAAATGGACATAGCTAACGTGCTGGCCGTTGCGTTCCAAATAGGAGGTGAGCGTGGGGACATTCCGGCTCCTTCTGACTCTGGCTCCCATGGACTCACATTGGAATATTGTGGAACCTCTCTCTGTAACTGCTGCAGTGAGCTTCGTCATTTTGGTCTTAAAATGTTCGTATTAACCCAGTCTATGTGATCCTGGGGTTTTTATTTTGCTGTTTTGCCCGATAAAAAAAAAGTCTTATTTATAATATAGAGCCTGTTTCCAAATTCGCCTCTGTAACCTTTAGCATCGCGAGCTTCATTTGACTGGACCCGAGCGCTACGTGTGACATCACACTCGCTTAGTCCACTTCTTTATACAGTCTTTGCCTATAAAAGTCAAACCAATGAATTATTTGTTGTTTTGTACATTCAGTCCAGGTGCAAAACTGACTGAGGTGCATTTGAGTTTCAAAGTTTAACATGAGGGTGCAAACATTTTTAATAAAAGTTGCAATGCACTCTTTTGCACCCCAGACCTGTAGGACACTGATGTAGCCATAACTGCCTCAAGTGTGGCTGCCAATCTTTGCCATCGGCTCCTCCTCCAAACACCAATCTCTCACACTATCACAACATAGATCTACAATACAAACTTTGATTTAGATAAACTTTATAGGCTTTATTTAATTTGGACACAGTAGCTCACACATCACAACATAATATAATAACAAAGAGAAAAAGCAAAAGATCGCAAGAGACAGGCGTCAAATAAGTATAAAAATGTATGTACGAGTCAAAATAAAATAGAAAATAAGTAGTACAACCTTAGCTTTATAAATGAGGTCATGGGAACAGAGTGCAACAACTGTCAACAACAACTGTCAACAACTATTATTATAACTTAATTTTGCTATAATTACATGTATTAAGCACACACACCCATGTTACAATCAGGATAACACACACAGTTTCTATTGTTTCTATTTTTAGATGTTGGAGCATTATTTGTTTGCACAAAGTATAGAGCAGGGGTCTTCTACCTCTATCAGGAGCTACTGGAAGCTCTCCACCCCTTTCCAAATAGCTCGCCAAAGGATTTCGGAATCAGTAAAATGAATTATAAATGTATAATTTTGATGTGTAACTTTGTGGACTAATAAATGGATCATGGTTTATGTTTTGTAGACATTGAACTGTACCCTACCTAAGCCTCACCTTTGCTCTTATATCCTCCTGAGACCCAGAACATTCATTTGTGTCCTTTATAGTGGACACTGAGTTAACCAGTCTGTCTTTTAAGTGTTTAGAGGTTCCTCCGCCTAAACAGGGTTGGGGGAAAATGAACTTAAAAGAAGTTAGTTTGGGGATGCAATATGATAAAAAAAAAAGAAATTAATAGGGAGTCTAAAAACTATTTGAAGTGACTGTAGAAGCTTGTCAGAGTCAGAGATGTTGGTCTTCAAAAAAGTTGTTTGTTCACATGGATTTAACAACAAAATGTCCCCGTTGTTATAAATGATACTATATTATAAATCAAAATAAAATGAACAAAATCGAAATGCTAAAGATGTTAATTTACCTCCAAATAGAGAGAAAATCACAAAAAATATAGATATTGCAACACACTTTTTTTCTCAGGAGAATATTTACTCAGTTTCTTGTGACTGCTAAAACTAGTAGCTCTTTGGCATTTTTATTTTGTAAAAGTTGCGGACCGGAAGAAAAAGGTTGGAGACCCCTGATTATATAGATACATTCATTTTGAAGTTGCCTTTGTAGTTGTAGGCCTAGTCAACATTTTACTATTTATATTTGCACTAATATGAGCATTTAAAGTTTGTCTATGAATCCTGACGCAGTACTGAAGCTCGTGAGTGCTCTTTTATCAAGCGACACCGTCACAAAAACTCCTCATCTTTTGGCGTATCTGTCTCTTTAAACGTGCGTCCTCGTGGTTTTCTTCGCGCACTTGATCAGGTCCCGTACCAAACCCGTGTAAATACTACGGTAAACACGCGCCATGGCACCGGCGTGTCGCTTTAAGAGTGAGTCTTCGGATGGCTTCTTGATATTAATAGAGCTGCCGTGTCTTCCTCCTCTGACGTAATGCAAAGCAAGTCCTGTCACTGCTCTGCGATAACACCAACCCAAATATGATACCAGACCACCAGCTGCCGCGGGTTACATTTCTAAACAAACTCAAATCTGTACATCGGGATATACAGCACTGCCAAGCTCCCCGTACTTACTTTGTTACCGGTGTCTGTTTGCTTAGTGAGGAGTGTGTAGCTTGAAGCCTTAACTAGCCTATCTCTCCTTCCCTCTCAGACCAAAGAAAAAAGCGGCCAAGACACAGTCACCCCGTCCGACATCATCAACAAACAAAAAGCCCACTAAGAGACGAGGCAGCCCGGCCATCAGGCAGCGACCCAGCTATCCACCATCTTAACCCGCTGCAAAGACGCAAATGTACAATCTGATCAACAGGTAAGAACTGAAACAAAACACGGGCACTTTTAGGCTGCACACTTCTCTATGCCAGTGTTATTAACGTGCTTGGTGCATTGTGGTGTCCAAATGTTGAACGGCGTGCACGCAAAGGAAGCATATGGCGCGCGAGGAAACGGGATGAGGATCAGGGGAGAGAAAACGGTGTCTGATCCGCGGCGCGTTTACGAAAAAGTATATGGCACTGTTCGCGTCCGATGGGTAGGTTTTTACGACGGACAGCAGTCGGTTTGCGTCCTTATGTAACTAACGGCCTGAGCCCCGTCGCTAAGGAAAAGAGGGATCCGCTGAATGAGAGAGAGAGACAGAGAGGGAGGGAGGAAAAAGAGCAGCGCCGCTTTGAATTCACATGGCAATTTACATTTAGGTTAGGACACCCAAACGCAACACAAATACAAATTGGGGTGCTACTGGGGACAGCTAACCCGACAGAGTTGGTCTTACGCAGCTCACGGCGCGGGGACGTGGAGTCAGTGCAAGTAGGTCTGACAAAGTTTTCTTGTTTTTAACATCAATTCGGAAAAGTGGCATCCCGGGTTCACGAGCTAGAGCTACAAGTTGCTAAAAGCCGGAGCACTTTGGAGTGGTGTTGTCACTACACAAAGTCGTTTTACCTCAACACTTTGCTTTACTTTTGAGTGTTTTCATTGATAACTTTTGCGCAGGCTTCTTATCTGGCTTTCCAAGTTCAGTTTTCTCGCTTTGTGGAATTACGCACGCCGTATCGGGAAAGTTGTCTCGTAACTTTGAGGTTGAAAGCGCTGGTCCACTTCAAAGGGATGCGTTAATAAAGCGGTTTTGAGTCCGATATGGCGCTGCTTTTTAGGACCTCTTTCATTGTTAGGGGCAGAGCGCGTGGTGGAGAAGAATCAGCGTAAAATAACCCTTAAAACTACAACTACTTGAAACCAGAGGACAGTTACGCACGAGGTTGGGTGTTTGTGTGCATTGGTTGCTTGTTATTGAACTTTTCTCGAGTGATGCCGGGAAGACCTAGTTGCGTTTCCACTCAAGTTTGAAAAGTCCCCCCTCCTCTCCTGTGGTGGTAAGAAACTGTGATGTTCCTTTGAGATAAGGGAGCGGGGTAGGCATGACAACTCTGTGGGGAGAGAGGAGTATGTGGATCCAGCACAATAAGGCACACACTGCAAGGAAGTCTTTTACATGCTCCTTCACACTGCTCCAGCTCTGGGGCAAACACAAACGCACCCAGTGGACTTCTGTTTCACTGATAACCCCCAGCCTGCCAGGCCCAAGGGACTACTGCACAGCCGGATTGTTTTTAAAGCTGATGAAGTTTACTTAGTTTCATGAGAAAGTTTTAAGTTAACCAGTTCTGAAAGTTATAGCAGCTCCTGCATGATTGCACTGCTATAAACTTTATTTTACATTTGCAAGATTGCCTAAATTTCTCAAAATCATCAAAATATTATTTGCTATAAGCTAATTGGATTAATTCAGTTTGCAGGTTGTCAAAATAGTTTTTTTCTTCCTACAGAAAATTTGCTTTAAGTCGTAAAGTAAAGTAGAGTCCACTAAAGTTTGGAGAAGTTTAGAAATGTGCCTAAAGTTTTTGATTAATGCAGCCTTATTTACTCAAATTTGTGGTCCGAATACGATCTGTTGACAAGTATTTTTTGTTGTTGTGAAAGTAACTTTTAGCTGATTGAGATGATGCTAAAATGTGACAGTAGCCGTGCTCATTTCACACACGAGTGATTTCTTCCTGGGTGACTCTGAAATCTTATCTTAAAAACTATAAAAGCATTATCAAATGGAAAGTCAAACAAGTAGCAACACATCGGCCAAATCACTTCACAACTTTATGAGAGTCAGACTTTTTTTTTTGGGCAACATAAAGAAAAATCGTAGAATTTCTTTTTACATTTAACAATCTCAAATTTCTTGTATAACATTTTCTTTTGTGTCTTTTTGCCTGACTGACAATTATTCCTGTTTCAGTATTATGTTATAACCTTTAAAATCACAGCCCTTTTCCACGCTAACTCATCACTCAAGTCTCAAACCCTTTACGTCCAATCAAGCTCTCCTCATACCCTTTTACTACGCATGAAACACACGTTAGTTACACACTTCTATCATTTTACCACGTACCTATAAAACAGTGCTTCGTGCATGGGGCCAAACTCGAGCATTTCTTCCACTTCGTAGACACTTGATATTATTGTATCCAACAGCCTTGTTCACGGACGCTATTAAACGTCAGAAACATTTGAGGACTTCCTAATGTGAACATCGGCTTGTAAAACTTTTCTCCCCATAGTATGTAGTGCTTTTCCTGTCTGAACGCGGAGACAGCCGTGGCTCATATGGACGCAATGTCGAGAGTCTGTGGTGCGTCTGAGAAGAGAGGGAAAGTTTGTGAGCGAGACTGCAATTGTCTCGATAGACGATAGCGGGGATGTTTGGTTTTATTGATGGTTTGACAACGGTAGTCATTTTGTGGGCTTCCTCGTATTTGTCTCTGGTTGCTTGAAATTAGAGCTGGGTTTCATGCGGAGAAGTTTAGACGCTTATATGCCTCAACTTTTTGTTCAAATATGTACGTGTTTTGTTTCAGTCAGGTTTTTATAAAATGATTTCTCAAAAAAGCTTTACCAATTATCAATACATGCAATATTTTGTATGTTTTAATTATGAGTTCCAGTGTTTACCACAAGTTTATCCTGAGACTACTGTGGCACAAGTTTTATTCACACTTTATTCAGCACAGTATATGAAGAACAACTTCTGCTTTCTGCTGATAAAAAATGACTAAATATAGACAAAATGAGCTTGCTTCTGTATGTTTAAGACAACACTGCAGGCTTACAGTATAATTACTTTTACAATTTTTCTTATTTTTAGTCAGAATTGCTCTAAGTTACAAAAGCTCTAACTTAACAAAAACAAAAATCTGTCTAAATACGTGAAAATGAAGTTACATGAACATCGGGTTTGGGTTTGTCCAGTGTTTTGTGTTTGATGAATGCAGATGATCAGGAAAAGTTACATCTGATTACGTGGTTTTATTTTAATTTCCACATGTAATATTAAGTGCCATGTCAGAATTTAGTCACGGAACACCTCGGCCTGTCACTGTAATTACTATATCAACTTATCAATCAAGAAATGTCAATGTCAGTATTTACTTTATGCTTTTTCTTTGTACTAGTGGCAACCTTTTGTCATTTTTCCACGCTACGATACATTTGAGCAATAGAGGGTTGAATAAATAACTTTAATTTAATTTCAAAGTAACTACTAAAGTGTCCCAGTCACTGTTTTTTTTTTTAAAATTGTAGCTGAAGTTTTAACAATTTTGAGTTATTTATGGTTATTTTTACTTATGATTTTTATGATTTTCAAAATTAAAAATGCAAGTTTATGTTTAAATGAATCAGTCTTAAAGTTGTTAAGCTTCGACACAGCAGTGAAATTATTTGAATAACAAAGAGAAAAAATATAAATGGTAATAATAGATACTAAAAAAATAAAAAATAGCAAGAGACTGGAGTCACTTAAGGTGTAAATATATAAACGTATAAGCACAAAGTTGTCAGTTTTTGCAGTTTGAGCTGAGTTTTGTTAATGCAAATGTAAAAAAAAATTTAACTAAAGAGTTTAAACTGAAAAAATCTGAAGTTATTATTGCGTTGCCAGATCAGGTGAAGTACAGTGATTCATCTGAACACAAGAGAGCTCCAGACAAAACACTGAAGCTGTGCGTTTGTGTTCTCCCTGAGATGATAACAGGTGTCTAGACTCCGCTGTCCCACTTTTCCATATTGCGACAGATTTGACTGTTTTATTTGACTTTGGTCTTTGGTTTATTTTTACTTGCCACTTAATTACATTAGAAGGAAGGCCTCGCTCAGATAGTTTATATGTGGTCAGTCTGCGCGGCTCACCCACGGCTGTCTACCACTACTTTTACTTCAAGCAGCGCACTCCTCTCCTCTTTATTTGAATTCAAGTTGCTCAACGCTGAAATGAAACCTGATTGCGAATTTTCTGGCGTTTCTCCGCGATTCGATTTGCGGTTTATCTTTTCAAATCGGTATTCACGTCACGGTGCGTTTGTATTTGCGAGAAGATCGACCATGAATTGCTTTACGTATACAAAATATTCTGAACTAATTTGAGGTCTGATCTGCGGCGTTTTGTATATATTGTTATTCACATAGAGATCCTGTTACTTAGAGTTTTGATATATATGTGAATTTATGCAACAATTCCTATTCCATTGTGATTAAGTGAGCAGCCCTACTTGAAATTATCCAAACTTGCAATGATAGCATCTATTAGTACAAGCTGTGGTTTTCAGTTTTAAGCAAGCCTGCTGTTCAGATCAAGGAACGCATTCATTTGTCATGGCTAGTTTGTTTGGGAAACGCTCATTGCTGGGCTGCTGGCTTTCGCTAACTGTTCTGTAGCACTTGTTATTAGTTTTGCCTTATTTCTCGGGGATGTTAGTGACTTTAACTCGCTTAACTCGCACGCTGGTTGCTTTATTAGAGTCCTGAAATACACGCGTTGGGTTTATTGTCCTGGTCGAGAAATTGAGTTTAAATTGAAGTTTAATTGTGTCCACTAAAAGCCTGCAGGTAGATTTTTATTTTTTATTTATATTGCACTTTACGTTGAAAAAGCGAATCTTTCAAAGCCCTTTTCAAACATATAAGGTTCACATTTGGGCAGATTTGGTCCAGATCTGAGTCTGGTTAAATTCTGATGTAGACTTGTTTTGTTCTTGTTACAGTCCTGGTTTAGTCTTGGCCTGGTTGAGGTTTAACCCAAAGTTTAGTCCTAGTTTAAATTTTATTTCAAGTGGCGTCGATGCAACATCTTAACTTCGAAATTTCTTGAAGTAAAGTATTATTTTAGAGTTAGAGTTACTTTATTTTGAACATTTTTAAATTTAAGCACAAAAGCTAATCTTTGTACTTGGACAAACACTCAAAACATGCAGATTTAAT